TCCGCACACCCCAGGCTCAGGCATCGAGCAGAACTCCAGTGACTGGGTGACCACCGACATCCAGGTGAAGGTGCGAGACACCTACCTGGACACACAAGTAGTGGGGCAGACGGGCGTCATCCGAAGCGTCACGGTGAGTGGGCTCCTGGGGGAGGGCAGGGCCCAGCTCTGTAGGCACCTTGTCTGTGGTACTATGGATGGAACGCTGGCATCATACATGCTGGGCTAGTGCTCTACCACTAAGCTAGATTACAACTATAATGTGTGCTCTACTGTGACGGACAGACAGACGAGGGAGGCTGGGGCGCCTGTGACTCCAGGGGAAGGGGAGTTCTGCCTCGCATGCTCGCAGCTCAGGCGTGTGGCCTGGGGACCTGGCACACAAAGCATGGTGACTTTGTGTTGCAGTCTTTGGAAAGATGAACTCACTAGTGTGCCAAGAGCCCCCGCCCCCAAGCTGGGCACCCTCATCCCCAGGCTCAAGGCCCTCAGCGGGACCCAGGGGGAGGGAAGGTGAGCAGTGACACTGGAAGAATGTCTGGACTAGATCACAGACCGTCCCGAGGGCACTTAGGGGCCACGAGGGCGCGTCAGGAGAGTGGTAGGAGCGATCTGTGACGTGCTTCTCATGCTTCGGTAGCATGGGTGGATCAGGATGGTAACACTGGTGTCGGGGAGGCCGGGTGCTCTGTGGCAGGGCAGTGGGGAAGGGAGGAAAGAGGCAGGAGACTGGAGGTCAGAGTCCGGAGGAGCAGGAGGTGGTGAGCATGATCACGTGAGCTTGGGGTCAGGGCTGATCCTGCGGCGACGGCTCCAGACGATCAGCAGTTGGAGAGATGAGGCTAGTTTGGAACAGGAAGAGTCAAATATGTGAGAGCTATCTCTCTTGATCTGAATCTGTTGTTGGGTATTTTTATTGTTTTGTTTGTGTTGTTTTTGAGACAGGGTCTCTCTGTGTAGCCCTAACTAGCTTGGAACTTGGATATATAGACCAGCCAGGCATGGCGCCTCACACCTTTAATCTCAGCACTTGGGAGGCAGAGGCAGGCAGATGTCTGAGTTCAAGACCAACCTGGCTACACCGAGAAACCTTGTTGAAAAACAAAACAAACAGACAAACAAAAATATAAGCAAACAAACAAAGATGCATCGATGAGGTAGACTGGCCTGGAATCCACAGAGATCCTCTCGCCTCTGCCCCATCTCTTTGAGTGCTGCGATTAAGACACCGCAATGTCTGGCTTTCTTTTAACCTGATTTTGATTCATTAGTGGAACTGCTCACCCTGATGCCACACAGCACAGGCCCTACCCAGTCTGTGGACTGGAAGGTGGGCTCCAGCTTGCATTGAGAGCAGCACAGGCTGAGCAGGCGATCCCTCTCCCTGTGCAGGGAGGCATGTGCTCCGTGTACCTGAAAGACAGTGAGAAGGTGGTCAGCATCTCCAGTGAACACCTGGAGCCCATCACCCCCACCAAGAACAACAAGGTAGAGAAGAGGCCTTTGGGAGGGAACGGGAGGGCTGCCAGGCTACTGGCGGGCCTGACACTCGTGTTGCCGCCAGGTGAAAGTGATTCTGGGCGAGGACCGGGAGGCCACCGGGGTCCTGCTGAGTATTGATGGCGAGGATGGCATCATCCGCATGGACCTGGAAGACCAGCAGATCAAGATCCTGAACCTCCGCTTCCTAGGGAAGCTCCTGGAGGCCTGACGCCCACGTGTGCAGGGCAGCATGGAGCGAGCAGCCCACTCTGGCCTTGCTAGGCCCAGCATAAGGCCTGAGTCTGCAGCAGGCCAGGGCCATCACTTCATTCTGGATTTCCTCCTCCTCCCTCCCCGATACTCTAGGTATCGGAGTAGAGTCTGAGAAAGGTTCCTGCCACCTTCTTTCTACTGTCCCAGCTTGCCTTTGTGTTCAGGTCTTTCAATAAAGAGAAGCTGGTTGAAAAGTGCCTATGAAGGCTTGTCTTGTGTAAGTGTAGCTATTAAGTTGGGGCAAATAACTGGATTCCAAGTTTCCCATCTAGAAAATAGTGCTTCTGGGACTCCAAAGGGCTCAAAGGATGCTGAAGACAAGTGGTTCAGTCCTGTCAGCCAAGTTGCTTAGCAGACTTGGGGAGGAGGATCATAAATCCATGGCCTGTAGAGACAACAGACCCCCTGGTGTAGCACTTCTCAACCTAAAGGTGAGGACCATTTTTGTGGGGGGTGGTGAACGACCCTTTCATAGGGATCACATGTCCTCCATATCAGATGTTTACATTATGATTCATAACTAGCAAAATTACAGTTAAGAAGTAGCAACAAAAATAATTTTATGGTTGGGGGTCACCACAACATGAGGAACAGCATTAGGAAGGTTGAGGTCCACTGCCTTAGTGAGACCCTGTCTCACAAAGTAAAAGAGTGGGGCACAGTGGTAGAGACAGAGGTTAGCCTGGTCTACAAAGTGAGTTCCAGGACAGCCAGGGTTATTCCACAGAGAAACCTTGTCTCAAAAGAGCAATAATAATAAAGAACGGAGTTTGGACAGCTCTGAACTTAGCTGGCCTGTGGTCCCTGTGCAATACGAGGGAACAAGTAAATCTAGATCTAGAGAAAGAAGGATCTGGCTGCTGGAGCCTGTGGTTGGTAAGCACGCTGGTGATGAGCTGCCTCAGCCAGAACAGCCACCAGCTGGGAGTCAAGACAGTACGGCCAGACCCAGAGGGATGGCTCAGATAGTAAAGGCACTTTGCCACCAAGCCTGGTAGCCCGAGTGCAGTCCTGAGTACCCACATGAAAGGAGAGAACTGACTCGTGCAGGTTAATCACTGACCTCCACATGTATGCTGGGGCATCCCCTCCCTAAGTAAATAAAGACTTTAAAAACGTAGGACACGTGGGCAGGCGGCGGACTGCCAGACCTGAGGTGACTCCCAGGAAGTACCATCAGGCAAACTGGGTATTCTCGAAGATGAAGGTGGGTTGATGGAATTTTTATTCAGTGTAGACCCCTCAAGTGCCAGAAGCAACTGAACAGCCAGAGGTTTAACGGAAGTGCTGAAACAATGCTAACTCATACTGGATATGGAGTTTTAAAGTCTCTAGAGTTTTGTGATTTGAGGGCGTTTTTATTTTTGTTTTTTTGAGACAGGGTTTCTCTGTGTAGCCTTGGCTGTCCTGGAACTCGCTCTGTAGACTAGCCTGGCCTCAAACTCAACAGAAATCCACCTGCCTTTGCTTCCCTAGGGCTGGGATCAAAGGTGTGTGTCATCACTGCCCGCTTGACATATGACTGATGGAGTATATCTTGGAGCTAAGTGAAAAATCAAGTCAGTGTCCCCAAGGACTCTATTATTTTAGTTTTTTGAGACAGGGTTTTTGTTTGTTTGGTTGGTTTGGTTTTTGTTTTAGCTCTGGCTCTCCTGGACTTCACTTGTAGACCAGGCTGGCCTTGAACTTAGAGAGATGTGCCTGCCGCTGCCTCCCATGTCCCGTGATTAAAGGATAGCACCGCCACTGCCTAGCCTCCCATGGACTCTTAATTCCTCCTGTGCTGCTGTCATGCCCCAGCCTCCTTAGTGGATTCTAAACCAGCACTCTACATTGAGCTCTGTCTCCAGCCCTGCAGTCTTGAACTGTGAAAGAACTTGACCCTAGGATCGCTTCTGCAAGCCTGATATAGGGGCAGGGATTAAAAATAAAAATAAAAGACATGCCATCGATCAGGGTAGGGTAGCGCATGGCCTCTGACGCCAGCACTGCCAAGAGAGAAGCAGGAGCATCAGGAAGTTCATGGTCTTTCTCAGCTGCATGGGTCAGCTTGGGCTGCAAGAGTGTCTCAAAAAAACAGCTGGTGAGATTGGAGTGTGGGTAAAAGTGCTGCCAAGCCTTATGACTTGAGTTCAGTTCCCCTGCACTCCTGTAACAGGAGAGAGCTAAGTCCCGCCAGCTGTCCCCTCCCCACCCCAACCAGGCAGGCAGCACATACCTTTAAACCCGGGGCTAGGGGAGTTAGAGGCAGGCAGATCCCTCTGAGTTCTAGCCAGCCTAGTCTATGTCCTCCACAGGCCGGCCGACGCTACAATAGACCCTGTTTCAAATAAAACTCATTTTAAAAATGAAGATATATCATGAAGATGCGTCCTCCACCCAGCTGCAGTAATGTAAGGCCAACAAGACTCACCAGGTCAAGGCAACGTTTTGACTTTTTTGACCACTAGCCTCAGAGGCTTCTCCTTAAGTCAACCGTGAGGGAGACAGCCTAGTTCAAACGACTCAGGCTTGATTCCCTGGACCCACGGGGTGGAAGAAGAGAAGCAACTCTTGAAAGTTGTCTTCTGACCCCCACGCCCTGTGCCACGATGGTACACACACTCAAACACATACGTAATTTAGCAGCACCCCAGTCTATTTCATTCCACTCCAAAAATGACCTCTCTGCATTCTGTGTGCCTTTCTCTTGCCAGACTTCGTATTTTCACTATCTTAGTACTTTGATTTTTTCTTTTTAAGATTAAATGTAAAAATCTGACTTGTTTCCTCATTGAAAACAACTTGGGGAACACTCACGGTGGCTTCCCGCACCCCAGATTCACTGCTTTCTTCATCACTCTCAAGCCTCGACCCGTCGGTACACTGTTCCTTTGGTTGAATCCGGATGAGTGGTAGGATTTCCAGTCATTTCTAGACACTCACGGTGGAGGGGGCAAAAAGAGATCCGGGGACGTGAGACGAGAGACCGGTTCAGCCTCCTGGTCTAGGTGAGAAAGACTGAGGGACCGCCGGCTCGCTTTGGGGGCCCTGGTCCGCCTTAGGGCTCCAGGGGGCGGGGTGCCAGAGGCCTGGATTGCGGCTCGGAGCGCCCCGCCTGAAGCACAGTCAGCTGGGAGCGCCCCTGAGGCGCTCCGCGAACACGCCTTTTTTGTCCCGCTCGGCTTCCTGTCCACACGCGCCGTCTCGGCGTTCCCATTGGTCGCAGTCCCCGGCTGGGCGGGAGCGAGCGAGCGGGTGGGCGGGGCCGCGTGGCGTCAGCGCAAGATGGCGGCCTCGGCGGCGCTGTTCTCGCGCTTGCGGAGCGGGCTCCGGGTAGGCGCGCGGGGACTGTGCACGCGGCTGGCGCCGCCGCCTCCCCGCACTCCGGAGCAGGTGAGCGGCACCGGGACCCGCACCCCGCTTCGGGGCTCCCTTCTAAAGCTTTGGGCGCATGGTAGTTGCCCGGCGAGTCCGGAATACCGTACTTCAGGGTGCTGAACGGGATGGAGCCCGCGGTCTGGGATGTGTCCAACCCTTCTGTGTGGACCGTGGTTGCTCCCCCGAGGATGACTATGGAGGCCCAGTGCGTCCTTTGGAGCCCACGTCTCAGCCACGTGGGTGCCGGGAGAGGTCACCTGTTCTTGTATCAGTGACCATTTAGGTGACTCTCGACGGGGGAAGGGCCGGGGACGCTAGAGTCCCAGGCCGGCCTTAGGGACATTTCATTGACCTCGGTGGTGGTGAGCGGCCGAGACGGGAAGGAGCCAGCTTACCTTCCGTTTTGACCTAGGCATTCTGACCTCCAAGACTCTTCATCACTTTCCGTTCCCTATTTCCCTAAGTCCCAGACAAGGGGTTGCAGCTCCTCGCCCCTGCTGCCTTCTCTTTCAAGCCCCTCCATCTTGGGCCCTGGGTGTCCGAATGTCTTAACTGTTCGTCTTGTCCCTTGCGTGCCCTCTGTCCCGTGTTAACCCCCCCCCCCCCCATCCCTTCCTCTCCCTGCCCTAGTCTTCCTGACTCCAGGATCTTGGGCAATCCGGCCTTTCAGCTCTTGAACCCCTGTGGTTCTCTCGGCAGCTTAGTTTTGACCCTCTGAGGGAACCAACCTCTCAACTTACCCCTGTAGGGACACTTTTCTGGGGCTCTGTGGATGTTCGCTTGCTGGCTTGATCTGGAGACTACTTGGACCACATTAGAGGTCAGAGTATTGCGTAGTTTTTCTCTTAGCTGACCCCTCTTCCTCTCCCTCCACTCAGGTTGCTGAGATCGCCAGCCGTGGGGGCTCAAAGCCTCAAGGGCCACAGCCTCAGCCGGGCTCAGAGGGCCCCAGCTATGCCAAAAAAGTTGCACTCTGGCTTGCTGGTTTGCTTGGGGCTGGTGGGACTGTCAGCATCGTCTATATTTTTGGTAAGAGACATAATCCTGCCTCGTTGGCCCCTAGATTTCTACTGTGAAACTTTCTCTTCTTTTCTCATACTGTGTTCATTCCCTGGCTCCTCCCTCAATGGGGTTATAAACTATGATAGTCACCTGAAATTCAAGAAGCCCCCTCTATCCCGTGTACCTACAGTTGTTTTCTGTAGTCGGTCCTTGTACTTCAGGATCTAAGGGGAGGATGGGAAGAATAGGGCTAGACTAATGCCTGAAGCTGTGTCTCCCCTCAGCAGCAAAAGTCTAACTTTTCCCGAGGGCTCAGCTCACTTAGAATCAGCTCACTTAGAATCCCCACCCCAACCTTCTCCTCCCTTAATCCAGGAGCTGTACCTCTAGCAATATTCCCTTTGAGTGGGGAGTTCAAACACCTCATTCTCCTTCATCTTCCAGACCCAGAAGACTAGGCTCCAGTTTCCCTCATTTATCTCTGTCTCCTTTGCAGGAAACAACCCTGTGGATGAACATGGTACCAAGGTGAGGGGAGTGAGAACCAGGGGTGCTAGGGTCTGTTCTGGAAGGGTGCGGGTGGGTCGCTTTTGGTTGGTTCGGGCTCCTTTCAAGGCTGGAGTGAGCCTCTCCCTCCCTCCCTGGGACCTTTGCCTACTTAGTCTCTAGAGCTTCCTGTGTGGATGTACTGGGGTCCTCTCTCTGCTGTTTCAGAACTTTCCCTTTTCTCCCCCAGATTCCTGATGAATTCGACAATGGTGAGTGATTAAACAGAGTTGGGACCCCCTGGTGTTCCATCTCTGCTTTTTTTTTTTTTTAGCTTGGTTAGAGTGCTATTACCTACTCTGTATCCCAACCCCTCCTCCTTCCATGGAGGTGCGGCAGTTAGATGGCTTTGGGGAAGGGACATAACAAAAGCCCCGCTCTCTTTCCTGGCCCCTCCACCCTGGAACAGATGGTCAGAAACAGATGGGGGCAGGGAGCTCTGGCCATCCATCCCAGACACAAGGCTTCCTGTGCCATAGACCTGAGCATCTGCAGCCCTGACCCCACCCTTTTATGACAACCCCTTTTTCTTTTAATCTCTAAGTCCCTACTCCAACCCATGCCTCATTTCCAAAACAATGTCTCTTTGTGCCTGTGCCACTGTCCCCCTTCCCTACACATACACCCCAAATCACAGAGTTTACTGCTAACATAGGCAGTGGAGTAGCTGTGGTTTCTACCCGACCCTTCCTGAGAGAAAGTGAAATTGGTAGTCCAGAAAGGCGCCTGCCTGTGTGTGGGGTGTCAGACAACGTGTACAAGCCCTGGTTGTTTTACTTGTTCACACCAGGCAGATGGATGGGTCTGCTCTTTTAGCTGGAGAGATGTCAACCCCCCTGTTTTATTTTTATCTTTTTTCTTGTTTGTTTTTTGAGACAGGGTCTCACTGTGTAGCTCTGTCCTGGAATTCACTGTGTAGACCAGGCTGATCCCAAATTCTCAGAGGTCACTTGTCTTTCCTTCCTCCCAAGTCCTGAGCTTAAAGTCTGGCACCACCACACCCTGTTCCCCCTGGTCTTATTCACCTGATATAATTGTCATCTTGGAGGCTTCTCCCTCTGTCTGCTCACCTAGGCCTAGTCCTGGAAGCTTCTAGTCTCCGTACAACACAATCTAGGCCTCATACTAACTCTGGCTATCTGTTCTTGTTTGTTTGTTGTTGTTTTGTTTTGTTTTTTTCAAGACAGGGTTTCTTTGTAGCCTTGGCTGTTCTGGACTTTGTAGACCAGGCTGGCCTCAAACTCATATCTGCCTGCTTCTGCCTCCCTGAGTGCCAGGCTTGCAGGCATGTACCACAGTGCCTGGCTGTGTTCTATTTTTAAATTAAGTGTGTGTGTGTGGGGGGGGGGTGTACACATGAGTTCAGGTGCCCTCAGAGGCTAGGTAAGAGCTTTGGATCCCTTGGGGCTGGGTGACAGGTGTTTGTCATCTTCCCGACCTGGGTGCCAGGAACCCGAGCTCTACAAGGGCAGTCGAGACTCAGCTGCTCATCTTTCCAGCCTGCTGTTGTGTCCCCCGAACCCTTCTGTTCTGACTTCAGACTCACTATGTAGTCCTGGCTGCCTCCGAACTTAAACTTCTTCTGCCTGAACCTTCTGAGTAGCTGGGGTGACAGGTCTGTGCCGCTGCAGCCCAGCTCTGTCCCCACTTTGAACCAGGTACTACTTTGTTGCAGGGGCCTGTCCTGTGCATTGTGGGATGTTTTAACCTGCATTCTTGGCATCTACTCACCGAGATAGATACTAGTATTATGGACTCTTAAAAATGTCTCCATGAAGGTAGGCCCGCCTTTAATCCCAGCACTTGGGAGGCAGAGGCAGGCTCTATGAGTTTGAGGCCAGCCTGGTCTACAGAGCAAGTGCAGGACAGCCGGGGCTGCCTGGAGAAACCCTGCCCTGACAAACCAAAAGAATAGTAATTATAGTGGTAGTAGAATGCCTGCATCAGGGGCGCGCTCAGCGCAGAGCACACCCACAGCATTGTGGGAGGCCTTCCTTCAGCCCCGAGCACAGATTCCAGACGTCGCCATCATGCCCCGGACAGGCCTGTTCCTAGCTGCTAGAAAACATGTATGTCTGCCAAAGGAAGCACACTGACGGAGTGGGCGATCTCAAAGCTTGATAGTTTGACATGGGTGGAGGGCAGGCTGCCGTGCGAGCGGACGTGCCAGCTGTGGCATGAGGTAGGCTGTGAGCCTACCACTTCATACCTGCCGGGGTTGAGATGGAAGCACTCACAGGGAGACCAGCTTGTGGCACTGAGGCAGGCTGTGAGCCTACCACTTCATACCTGCCGGGACCGAGATGGAAGCACTCACAGGGAGACCCGGCAGAGGGCGCATGTCTTCTCCCCTGCTCCTCGATGCTGTCTGCATTGGACCGCAGCACGCGTGTGCAGACCTGCTTGGGCTAAGTTCTGTGCTTCAAGCTGGGCTTGCTAGAGCACAACAGTTGTCTGAGTACTGGGTCAGGAATTCAAGACAAACCACAGCCACAGGAAGGCTTGCCTCAGAAAACAGTAAAAAAGCTGGGCAGTGCACTGATCTCTGAGTTCAAGGACAGCGGGGCTACTGAGTGAGTTCCAGGACAGTCGGGGTCTCAAAACACCTGGAATTTTTTCTCACTTTTCCTTCTGAGATCTGTCTGTTCTGCAAGTAAAGAAATAATAACGATAAACTGGCCTGTCCGGGAGGTGGAGCAGCGGCTTACATGGCCATCCCTTTGTGCCTGGTGTTCTAGATCCAGTTCTGGTTCAGCAGTTGCGCCGGACATACAAATATTTCAAAGATTACAGACAGGTGAGTGAGGCGGGGTGGCTGGCCTCATGCCCTGACCCCACGCCCTGTCCTGTTTGTGAGTGGGTGGCTCGTCCTCCTGCAGATGATCATCGAGCCCACCAGCCCCTGCCTCCTCCCAGACCCGCTGCGGGAGCCCTACTACCAGCCACCGTATACACTGGTCCTGGAGCTCACTGGGGTCCTTCTGCATCCGGAGTGGTCGGTGTGTCCTGCGGAAGGCAGCGCGGGGTCCTTGGGGAGGCTGGCGTGGGCGTGGCGGGGTCAGCCTCTGTCTTTGTTCGCTGCCGCCTTGCTCCCTTGCTCCCTGTTTTAGGCTGTCAAACTTGAGTCCACCCGGCTCAGTCGATTGCTACATGCTCCTGAACCCGCAGGGGCAGACCGAAGCCTGCTGCTGGGACCCGCAGGCTGGGTGGTAACCCTTCGGGCCCTGCGGCCTAAACGCTCCTGTGTCCTCACTGCCTCTGCAGCTGGCCACTGGCTGGAGGTTTAAGAAGCGTCCAGGCATCGAGACCTTGTTCCAGCAGCTTGCCCCTCTGTATGAAATAGTCATCTTCACGTCGGAGACTGGCATGGTGAGGCCCTGCGCCGGCAGTGACACAGGTGGGTGATGAGGCGCCTGGGAGCCAGCCTCATGAGCTTCCCTCCACCCTTGCAGACTGCATTTCCACTCATTGATAGTGTGGACCCGCATGGCTTCATCTCCTACCGTCTGTTCCGGGACGCCACCAGATACATGGAGGGACACCATGTAAAGGTGCCGTGTGGGCATGCGCGGTGGGCCTCTGGGATAGATGCGGGGTGCTCATACTGCAGAGGAAAGGGCCCTGCTCCTTCTGATGTCAGTGCTTGCCTCCAGCTTGGGTGAGAGGTGGGGCCTAGGCTTTGTTTCTGGAGCTGTAAATGGCTTCCGCGAGGCTGTGCTTGGCACTGTCATAGAACCTGTTCCTTTGGCCAGCCATGTATCTAGACATGGTGGCCAGGCCCCTCTTAGCCATGCGTGTGTCTTGGGGACTTGGGGTTTTGTACCATTGTACGGTATAACTGGCTTTGACAAGGGCCTGTAATTCCTGGCTTGCAGCACGTCTAGTTGTAGCCTCTCAGAGACTTGGGGTAGAGATTGAACCCACCAGACAGAGAACCCGTGTTTTCTCCAGAGACTCCTGGCTTAGGTGTCCATGTGACCAGGCCCCAGTTTCCCAGAAGCCTCAGGTCACCTTCCATGCCCCGAATTTCGGAGACAACCCCGAGTGTGTGACTCTGCCTGCCCTGTCCCCTCTGCGACCAGCAGGGAGGGGAGTGATGGTGACCTGGTCTCTACCACCCACTTCAGGACATTTCCTGTCTGAACCGGGACCCGGCCCGAGTGGTAGTGGTGGACTGCAAGAAGGAAGCTTTCCGCCTCCAGCCCTACAACGGCGTCGCCCTGCGGCCGTGGGATGGCAACTCGGACGACCGCGTCCTGCTGGACCTGTCTGCCTTCCTCAAGAGTGAGCCTCACCCTACTGTCTGAGCCAGAGCCTTGACCCTGAAGACAATGGCAGAGCCTTGTCGTTAGTGTGAAACTGAGCAGTCAGGGCGCAGGAGACCCATGAGTCCCCTGGAGTCCTCTGGAACTCCCTGGAATGTTCAGGCATTTCTCTCAGGGGTATTTGGGCATGTTTGGAGGAGCCCTGTCACAGCATGATACAGTGTGATTCCAGGGCGTGCTGGCCCTCCCCTGGGCCTCACGGAGGCCTGACTAACTAGCACCCTTCCCTGTTGTGCCTACAGCCATCGCACTGAACCAAGTGGAGGACGTCCGGACAGTGCTGGAGCACTATGCTCTAGAGGATGACCCGCTGGAGGCCTTCAAACAGCGGCAGAGCCGGCTTGAGCAGGTTAGGCCCTGGCACAGCTGTCTGTCTCCTGGGTGTCGGTGCGCGTCTGAGCACTGTCTTCTCCACCTTGGCCTCTGGTGTGGGCCTCTTACATTTGCAGCCTGGGCTAGAAGCAGGAGGCAGGAGCTAGTCAGCACTTGAGATAAGTTCTCCATGGCCTTGGGTGGCTCTGGGCCCTTCGTGCTGGACTGTGGCTTTAGAGCCAGTCTGCCATTCTCGGGGCTCTGCTGATGCTCACCTCAGGGGCTGGGGAAAGCGTGTTTTCTGGGTGTCCTTTTGACACAATATCTCATGTAGTTCAGCTGGCCTTAAACTGTCAGTCCTCTGCCGCGGTCTTGTGAACGCTGGGTTTACAGGTGCTGTTTCGCCATGCCTGACTGTACATGTTGGGAGCATTTGGTTCTTTAATAGTCCTGCCTGTGCTGGGGATGCAAGGGTGCTGGGCCTGCACCCCGGGGCTTGGAGTTACCCTTGCTGGGGTCTGGATCCTACCCTCTGGGTACTGAGTCCTGTCTTTCTCTGACCCCAACTGCAGGAGGAGCAGCAGCGCCTGGCCGAGCTCTCCAAGTCCAGCAAGCAGAGCCTGTTCTTTGGCTCCCTGACCAGCCGCCTGTGGCCTCGCTCTAAGCAGCCCTGACTGCCGGGCCTCCTCAGACTTGGTGCCTGGGCCTCAGGCCCCAGACCTCACAGAGCAAGGTTTGGACAGCTGTGTGTCCAATAAAGCGCATCCCAGATGCCACAATGCCTGTGTCCAGAGAGTCCAGATGGGGCGTCGGGGCGTCACCACCGTGACTGAGCGCCACCACTAGGCACAGTGAGTGCTTGGTCGGATTGGGGCGCCTGCAGCCTGGGAAACTGAAAGCCTGGGTTACTGCTGCACCATTTACTGTAAGAGCTGCAAAGAAAAGCATCTCTCTCTCTCTCTCTCTCTCTCTCTCTGGCTCTGGAGTCCTTGTGTGCTGTGGAAATAAAGAGAGTCATGGCCTCTCGGGACCCATCTCAAGGGCTGCTCCGCCTAGCTGTGTGTGTGGCTCTGGATCTTTGATCATCCACATTTCACAGAAGCCAGAAATCAGGATTGTGTTTTCTTTTTGGAGACAAGGGCTCACTGTGTAGACCAGACTGGCCTTGCCTCTGCCTATCAGGTGCTGGGATTAAGGGTATTTGCCTCTGCTATTTATTCTTCTTTTGGAGACTGGTTCTTATTATGTAGTTCAGGCTAGCCTGGAATTCCTAGGCCTAAGCAGTTGTCTTGAGTAGCTGGGACTAGAGGCATGTGCCACTCTTTTCTGCTAGAAGTCAAGATTTAAAAACAACAAAACCGTTGGATTTCTCCAGTTTTACTTTTTTTATTATCTTTGTGGTACTAGGGATGAAACATGCAAACATGCCAGGAAGGCGTTCTACCAGTGAATCCTATCCCAGTCTGTCTTTTTTTATTTTTTAAGATTTATTTACTTATTATGTATACAGTGTTCTATCTGCATGTACACCTGCAGGCCAGTGTGTGTGTGTGTGTGTGTGTGTGTGTGTGTGTGTGTGTGTGTGTGTGTGTCCGGGCTCTGTCCTACCACGTGGTTCGCAGGGGTGGAAGTCTAGTTCCTTATCCTCCTGAGCCACTGTTGTGTTTTTGGTTTGATATGTAGCCCATGCTGGTTTTGGAATGCCTGTAGCAAACAAAGGATGGCCGTGGACTCCTTGCCAGAGCCACCTCCTGACTGCCAGGACCGAAGGCATGCACCACCACACCCAGCTGATTCAGTGCTGGGTACCAGTGGACTTGATGCTAAGCAAGCACACCTCCTCCTGAGCCCCCCCCCCCCCGGCCTCTTCATTAACAACTGTGTGTGGCTGTGGCTTCTGCTTGGAAAAGTGCAGCTGTGTGGTATTCTAGTGAATGTGCATTGGTGCTTTGCCTGCATGTGTGTCTGTGAGAGGGGGTTGTAGCCCCTGGGACTGGAGTTACAGGCAGCTGCCATGTGGGTGCTGGGAATTGAACCCGGGTTCTCTGGGAGAACTGCCAGTGCTCTTAACCGCTGAGCCATCTCTCCAGCCCCAGTGATAGCTTTCTCCGTTTTATGTCATGCACTGTGTACTTACAGAGGCCGGAAGAGGGCACTGAATCCCCTGAGGTTGTGAGCTGCCATGTGGTTGCTGGGAATTGAACCTGGGTCCTCTGGAAGAGCAGACAGTGTTCTTAACTGCTGAGTCATCTCTCCAGCCTACCGATAATAGTTCGGTCTGGATTGATAGGCCTTCAGGCAAGGAACCTGTCTGTTTCCTCCTGTCTGAAGTAGAGTGAAAACTGTTGGTCTCTTACCCAAGCCTCTCTGCTCCAGCCATACCTAGTTTTAGCCCAGCTCAAAACACAACAAAATAATGCTTTCATGCATTGGAAGCCGTGGGCTGGGTCAGGGTGCATTCTAAACTGTTTGAAATGCCTTCAGTGCCAGCACAGAGAGAAGGGCTGGTGAGGTGCCAGCAGGCTGTAATCTCGGCATTTAAGAGAACTGATGAGTTTGAAGCAAAACTGGTTATGTAGCAAGACCATTGACAGCCCAGCGCCCAGCCTGGGGTACTGCACAATTCAGAGCTAAAGACTCCCTCTCTCTTGCCTCATCCCCAAGACAGGAGATCACTCTATAGCTTGCTGGCCTGGAAGAGCAGGGTAGCCTCCAGCGTACAGAGATCCACCTGTCTCTGCCTCCTGGGTGCCGGGATGAAAGCCTCGTGCTACCACACCTGGTGGGCAGTGGTGGCACACATCTTTAATCCCAGAGGCAGAGGCAGGTGGATCTCTGAGACCAGTCGGTCTACAAAGCAAGTCCAGGACAGCCAGAGCTACACAGAAACCCTCTCCTGAAAAAACGAAAAAGAGTTTCTATTTTAAGGAATGAGTTTGCTCCGCATCTGGAGGCCTTGCCTTGGCAGCCTTATCTAAAGAAACCGTGGTGGAACAAAGCTTGGTGTGGGAGATAGGGTCCTGGAAAGAGTCTTGGACAGAGGGAACTTCTCTTTTGGAGTGAGGGGAACATTATGAGGTTTTGAGGCAGGCTTGCTATGTAGCTCACATTGGCTCTGAACTTGAATGATCGGCGTGCCTAGGCCTCTTGATACTGGAATTACAGCCATGTGCCCCCTCACCCTTCTAGAGAGGACTTCATGTGTGACCTGGGTCTGCTCACTGCTGCATGAGGAAGAAGTGTGTTTGCTCCACTGCCCTGGAGACCAGTGGGTCCATCAGATCTGTCCCTTCACTTTGGTGCTGACTGGGCCCCTGGCCCTATCCACTCACAGTGGAGGAGAGATTTGAGCATAGGTGCAGAAGACTTCCACAATGCTCATTCGATGGGCCTGGGGCATTTAACCCCAAATGCCCTGTGCTCCAGCGTTCTTGGGGAGTCATCTCTCCCCCCCCCAAACCCCCCCCCAGTGACCTCCAGCTTCATTGCACTTGTGGCTTAAGTACTTGCTGTCACCATCTGAGCCCCCCCCCATGACAGCAGTCAACAAGGGGGGTAGGAAGCAGTGTCCCACTGTGCTGCTATTCCCGAAGGGAGGATGCAGTGCAGGCAGTTGGGTGGGGGGACATGAAAGGGAGCAGGGTAAACACACAAGCCTGTAATTCTAGCTCCTCAAGACACGGAGGCAGGAAAGAAGGGCTGGGCTGTCGCTCAGCCATGTAGCCCTGACCTGACAGGCGTGAGGATGGGGGGAGGCACATGCCACAGGGAACAGCACCTGAGGTCAGCTCTTCACGGACCGGCTGCGGGCTGGGCAGCACGTGCTTGGCTAAGCCGCCTCACCAGCCAGAATATGCTGCCTCAGATGGGCTGGAATCATCTAGAAGTTCTCTTGGGTAGGCGTGTGAGAGCAAAACCTAGAATGAAGGAGAGCGAAAGCTAGCTATCTCAGTGGCCCACGCACGCCTGTGGTCCCGGCACTCTGGAAGGCGGAGCTCTGAGTTGGAGGCCAGCCTGGTCTACAGAGTGGGTGCCAGGACAGCCAAAGAGCAAAGAGAGAGAGCGCTACCAGGACGGTGGGCCCAAGGCCTTTGCTCTTGCTGTTGAGTGTGTTCTTTCCCTGGATGCTTCTGAGGTCACCTCAGTGTGGCCTGTTTCCGCTTATAAGGAAAAGCCCCAAACAGCCAGGAAGCCTTCCAGAAACTCCTTAAAGCCTGCTTCATTTGTGATGCAGAGTTCTGGAAACACTGTCTGGCCTTGCTGAGTTTACAGGGCCGGGGTCAGCCAGAACCCACAGCCTTGTGAGTGAGCCCAGGTGTGGCAGGGCTTCGTGCTGTGTGTGGATTGTGTCTGAGAAAGGTTCTGTGTAGTCCAGGCAGGCCTGGTTCTGCTAACTGCCCTGCCTCTGGCGTGCTGGGACTGCAGATCTGCCCACCATGTCCACCCATGGCTCTTTTCTACCGAACAGTTACTGAGCGGGACTGTGGCCGCCTCCCCTACAAGACAAACGTTATTATAGGTGCAGTTTGAAGTTCGCCAAAGTGATCAGCTCTGAGTGTGAACTGGGGGTGGGGGAGGCTTCCTCGTTTAAGCAGCCTTGCTCGGCCCCCACCTCCGGGGGCTGCTGCATTCATCTCCCCCCCCCCCCGGGGGGGGGGGGGGGGGGCGCCTTTCTCCCCCCCCCCCCCCGGGTGGGGGTGGGCGGCTGCATTCATCTGGGGTGGAGAGCGGGCCCTGGTGCCTGAGGACTAATTTCCTGCCCGTTTGCCCCTCACACCTTCCTGAGTCCAAATGGGAGGCCCAGCTGCGGGCGAGGGGGAGGGGCCCGGCAGATGGCGACATTTACATACAGCTGGGGACGCTCGGGCCGGCGTCTGGTGGCGACGCTGGGTACGGGGCGGGAGGCTTTGTTTTAAGAAGGGGGAAACACGCATGCACGCGCTCGCGAGGCCTTCCACGAACACACAGAGGTTCACAAAGAGCCCAGCATCCTCATCCGTGTCCGCTCACCGCCTCATCTGTGGGCCTCCCGAGCACACACCCACACCAGTGAGCTCACACCCAGCCAGCTGGGGACGCAGACACCGAACCCACGGGTCCCTAGGGTCCTGCATAGCGGGCAGGGCCGCCCTCAGAACCCCTTACAGCCCCGCAGCCGCGTCAACCGTCCACGCCGGCTGAACCGCCACCACCTCCACACGCACGCTAACGTCAGTTCATCTTCCAGTAGGCCTTGCCCGTGGTCACATTCAGGATGAGCTCAGCCAGTCGCCCACACAGGGTCCCGTCCCCGGCGACCCTCGGCCCCCAGGCTGCGGAGGGGGCGGGGCGTCCCCTCAGATATAAGGCTGCGGGAGCCAGCCGCGGCGACTCCCGGGACTACCCCTCAGTCTGTCCCCAAAGCGATGGTCTCCCCGCAGGTGTCTGCGCTTCCCCAGACGCTCCTTCCGCTGCTGCTCCTCCTTCCCCAGGTCAGCCTCGGCGGGGTGCACGAGGGGAAGGGACAGATGGGGTCGGGCTGACACCGGGCGGTCCGAGAGAGGGCTCCTGGGCCGGACAGACGCCAGGTCCCCGGGGTTCCCTGACCCTCCGGCCCTCTCCGCCCCAGGCCCTGCCAGCCGGTGTCTTCGAGCTGCAGATTCTTTCTTTCGGGCCGGGACCAGGCCCCGGGGCCCCGCGGCCCCCCTGCGACGCCCGAGGCCCTTGCCGCCTCTTCTTCAGGGTCTGCCTGAAGCCCGGGGTCTCCCAGGAGGCCGCCGAGTCCCTGTGCGCCCTGGGCGCAGCGCCGAGCACACGGGGCCCCGCCTACACGGAGCAGCCCGGACCGCCCGCGGCTGCCCTGCCGCTGCCCAACGGCCTCATACGGGTGCCCTTCCGCGATGCCTGGCCGGTGAGCCCAACCCCGACACCCAGACCTCCATCTCCGTCTAGACCTGTGCCCCAGAGCCTTAACCACCCCTGAAACCCACACTCCCAGACCCCCTCAGGTCCCCTCTTCGGGGATGTCTCAAAACTGGGCTTCCCATCTCTTTGTGGTTTTGTTTGGGTGTGTGTGTA